GCGATTTAAATCCGGAAAAATAGTTTCATTTCCTGTTTATATTTCCTATGTACTTAGTAAATTCTCTGAAATTTATATTTTAATATTTTCATTTCCAAATCAGTTTGTGCATATCGATTTTATAAGTAGATTGATATATTCAAGTAGATAGATAGATATATATTATATATATGTAGATAGATAGATATATTTAATGATATATTCGAATAATTTAAAACAACAATAATTTTGTTAATATTTCATAGCATATTGTTGTCGTTGCATGCTGTCATGTTCCTTAAGTATCGAGGCACTTAGTTTTATATAATTAAAATTAAATAAAAAATAAAAATAAAAATAAAAAATAAAAAATAAAAAATAAAATAAATAAATAAATAAAACGGTCCAAAGTATAAAGTGTCAAGCATGATGTGCTCCGAACTGTACAATAAGACAAGTATAGTAATGCCATACAAACGTGGCAGTAACGTAGATATGTATGCGTGTTTGGGCTTGCAATTCGAATTTTCGAGTACTTCGAATATTCGCCTGATTTTGATGTTCGAATAATATGCATTGTATTCGAATATTCGAATTATTTTTCATAAACTAAAGACAATTCTGACTAGCCCTATGCGCGACCACCGGAAGCGCTTAAAATTTGACAAAATACATTGACAATTATCTTAGGTGTGCTTTAAAGGTGAAACCATTGACTGATTATATAATCCGTTCGTTAACTATGAATAATATTCCACATTATTCCTGTTTTTGTGATATATGCAATAAAGCATTTGCTCTCTTAGAAGATTATAATTTTTATCTCGATTATTTAAAGGTTTGTTTGATTTATGGAATTAATATGGAACAATTAGCCATTTGAAATTGATTTTATTACTTTTCGTGATTTTTAAGACTGATAATAAAATAGATTCTACAGTATTATATTTATATATCTTGAATTATTCGAATAACATTCGAATTATTCTAATTTCGGAATTCAAAATCGAATATGCGAATGTCTAAAGTTGTCGAATAGTGCAAGCCCTAAATCTAATGGAATGCATATGGACCGCTGTATATGCACAGTCATTTTTATATTTCTGTCGACAGTAAAAATCGGAACATTCTACTTCGTCTTTTACTTGGCATTGGCGATTCTGGTGGCGGTGTGCATGTGGACGTTCCTTCAGCTGATGGACGCGCGGCAGCCGCGCTGGCAGCTGGAGAGTAGCATCATCGGCACGAACCCCGGCCTCGGATTCCGGCCCACACCGCCCGCAGTGGAGAGCTCCGTCATCTGGTACAAGGGCAATGACCCTGGTACGCAGCAGTTCTGGGTCCAGGAGCTGTCTGAGTTTTTAGCAGGTTGGTATTAAAATTAGATACTAACTTGGTCGCTTTATCTTTCATTTGTTATGAATTCGTGCCCTTGTTATAATAAAGCATATGTCATCATACGTTAGAAGTTCTTTAATCGCATAAAAATAATATGTTGCTACATTTAGTAACAGTACAGGTCCTTGTGAAAGAGTTCGTCCAGGGAAGTACTGCCATCTTACCAATTTCTGCCGCCAAGCAGTAATCTACTGTGTTCCGGTTTTGAAGGATAAGGGTGCTGGTGAAATTACAAGTACTAGGGTCTTGTCAACTTATGTCTCTTAGTGACAGGCGTAGTGGTAGTGCCCCTCAGATGTTTGCGACCTAAAGCTCTAAATGGCACTGCAACTGTTATGGACAGGCGTGTAGCTTACCATTAGGCATACGACTTATTCGTCCCGTCGCTTAATATAATAAAAGCAATACCAGCACCCCTAAAATCTTTATGATTTAAAACTCTTATAACTTTATTAAAACTCTTGTCAGTAGTGTCACTGAAACTGCAAGGTGTTTCTTACCACCTGGCGCACTACTATCATAAAATTCCTTCCTCAGTATACAAGCACGAGGGCAAGAAAGCTGGTGCCGGCCAGAACATCCACAACTGCGACTTCAAGCTGCCCCCACCTTCCGGCAAAGTGTGCAACGTGGATATCAGCGCCTGGGGACCCTGCGTGGAGGAGAACCATTTCGCCTACCACAAGTCAACACCATGCGTGTTTCTGAAGCTCAACAAGATTTACGGTTGGCGACCAGAGTTCTACAACAGCTCTAGCAACCTGCCGCAGGACATGCCGCACGATCTGAAGGAGCACATTAATAATATGACTGCTTATGATAAGAATTATGTAAGTTACAAAGCCTACACTATTTAAAACTTATTTCAAACTTCTATCCTAAGTAGAAATGGTGGAGAATGAACGAAGAGAAGACAAAAATGAAAGCAAATTAATTTGCTACTCCCCGAACACAGTGATGGATAAATAATAAATATTCAACACAAGCGTAGCTATTTTGCAATAGCTACGCTTGTGTTGAATATTTTTTTATGCTGTTAATTTTACCACCCTCCCTCCGCATAAAATTAATAAAATAAATAACACAAGCGCAACGAAAATCACAGACATCACCACCAAAAATACACCAAAATTAAGATTAAATGCATGACAAAATATTCAACACAAGCGCGGCTATTTTGCACGATTTAACCATCACTGGGTTCTCGGAGTTTACTTCCATTTTTATTAACATAAACTTCCGCAAAGTAACGCCTGAAACTATCAGTTACTTGAAGAGAAGACTACTCGAAAGCGGATCGCCCAAATTTTTAATAAGAAGAGTTTTGTGCAGCGGTATAATATGAATTAACGCCATTATATTGACTCTACCACTAAAGACTTAACCACATAATTGTCTTCAATACCGTAACTCTCAGACAAGTTCTGAAAAAATAGTTTAGAAAAACCAAAAACACTACTACGTATATTATTAGTAATACTGCTAGTGCCTCGCCGTGTAATTGATAGCATTGCAGGTACTAATTTGTTGAAAAGATTATTAAAATTTAATATCTTAAACTGATTGACTCCCAGACAATCATTCTATTTCACTTAAAACAATTGCTCACTAGAAAGTATTTTACTATGGCAAGGGAATTAGGCTACGAGCAGGGCTTATTTAAAATATAACTTACAAATACTTTCTTATACGTAAAACACAAAATACTTTCTTGAGATGTTTTGAAAATATGAAATACAAAGTACGGTATTTCGACCTCAGTTATTTAAACAACATAATTATCTTTTTTATTAAAAAAAAAGACCTCAAAAGTCTGTGACATTACATCTATTTGTCAAGTTTTACTGAAATTCCCTACTTCCATAGTTTCATCCCCTAGTTTGCCACCCTTAGAGGTGGGACATACAAAAAGTACAGTGGAATTGAGAACCTCCTCCTTTTTTAGTAGTTAAAAATACGTTTCTAGGTAGTAAAATACCGAATATGTATAATTATGTAAATTTAGATGTCAATGATTCAAATTTTTATTGTATTAAAAAAAGTAAGGTTTGGCATTTATGAGTGAAAAATAATATCTGATAAATGTCCGCCACGACCACAGTTACAGATGTCGATTCTTTCATCAAAGTTTTTAATCACTTTTTGACAAAATGGTGGATCTATTTCCTTAATCACTTCACGAATTGTGAGTTTCAAGGCTGCAACCGATTCGATTGGCTTCTTATAGATTTTGTCTTTAACATAACCCCATAAAAAATAATCCAGCGGTGTCAAATCACATGATCGTTGGCTGAATTTCGTAAAATTATGCGATCGGGAAATAAATTCATTATTTCGGTGGCTGTGTGACTTGTGCCGTTGGCATTGGGCCATTTTTTTTTCGAAAATTCGGCTTGAAATGCGGTTACGGTCAATGGATTACGCTATCGTGAGATATTAACAACTTAATTTAGGCCTATTATTGATGATATGGATATCACTAACATGTGGTTTCAAAAAGACGGTGCCAGAAGTCACACGGCCACCGAAACAATTAATTTATTGCAAACCAAATTTCCCGACGGCACAATTTCACGAAACTCAGCCTTTAAGTGGCCAGCTCGATCATGTGATTTTAACACAGCTGGGTTATTTTTTATGGGGTTATGTTAAAGACAGAGTCTATACGGAGCCAATCGAATCGAAGTGATTAAGGAAATAGATCCACCACTTTGTCAAAAAGTGATTAAAAACTTTGATGAAAGAATCGACATCTGTAACTGTGGTCGTGGTGGACATTTATCAGATATTCATTAATAATTGCCAAACCTTATTTTTTGTAATACAATAAAAATTTGAATCACTGTCATCTAAATTTATTGTTTTAATTTGATTTACAAAACAAAGTTCTTGTTGAAAAACCGTACATTTTAATTACAAGTAATTCAAATGTTGCCCAGCCCTGACTCGGGTAAATTGCGACTTCAAAATTACCTAAAAATGTTGTTTTACGTAAACCAATGAACAGCATGTTATGAATTTTTCGCCACTGCTACCTTCAAATATTAGGCTGCTTAGTTAAATATGCTACTATGAATTCAAAGTTCATTTTCCACGTTCTCCAGTTAGTGCCTCTACTGGCTTATGTATATACTATCTCCACTAGTAAACATTTTATTGGCGTAGTAAACCTACAAAGCAAAATGAATTAATCGTTAAATCCTTTTTTCTAGCTGAACATGGTATGGGTGTCATGTCACGGTGAGAATCCGGCTGATCGAGAGAATGTAGGTCCCATTCAGTACCTGCCGTACCGAGGGTTTCCAGGGTACTACTTCCCCTACACCAACCAGGAGGGGTACCTCAGTCCTTTGGTCGCTGTCCACTTCCAAAGGCCTAAAAGTAAGTTACTGCCACACTTTATCAGCCAAATTTTGTACCACAAATTAGTAGATGATACTAGATAAAGCGTTTTAATATATTTTAAACTGCCTCTGTGGCCAAACGGTTACCTTGCCGGACTGCCACGCAGAGGTCCCGGGTTCGATTCCCGGGCAGGTAGAAATATTTGTATGGACTACATTTATTTCTCTCAAGAGTTAGGGTGTTATTTGTGGTTGTCAATGTGTGTGTCCATGGTACCCGCGACACAGAGTTTCCCTAGTGCGGGACTTTGAGTGTCTGCGTTATATAATTGTACTGTGACAATGATTTATTGAAAATTGCACCTAATTAGACATAGTTCAAATCTGCATTTTCAAAATGAATGAGAAATCAAATGTGTTTTTATCACAAGAAAGTCATAAAAATAACACGAATTACAAGAAATAAATTATGTACATATGTGATATAATATCTGTCGTACTTAAATGTCGACTCATTTTCATTTGTAGAATCTTTAAACCTCTCTCCTGAAAAGTTGTAATTTACAGATATGACCTTATTACACCAAATGAGCGAAATTTAAAAAGTAATTTCCCTTGTTTTGATGACATATTACACAGAGTGACTTTTTTTAACGAAAAAATGTTCTGCAGCTGGCGTGCTAATCAACATCGAGTGTCGTGCGTGGGCGCACAACATGAAGTACGATCGCCACGAGGGCATGGGCATGGTGCACATCGAAATTATGGTCGAGTAGATCAGTATCATCCCAGCTGATCATAGTGAAGGTGTGGCCATTTCATAGATCGAAAAGTTTATCAAATAAATCGTTAGTTAATTCATTGAGGCACGTGTGTAAATGAAACGAATTAACAAGGACAGAGTTCCAAGTCTACTAATTTACTCTGGTCATTGTAACTCCATTGAACTCCACTGAGATTTAATTGCAATTGTGATAATATATCGCACTGCTATTGCAATAGTGTCGTAACTCAAAAGCTGAACGCAAAAATTGATTCTCTACAAGTGAATAAAAGTGTCGTTACAATATTGTAAGAAACAATTAAAATAGATCTACTTAACTCAAAATGAGAACAAAATTTTTGTGAGCTAATTCTCCTTACTCAAGAATATAAAGTAATTGTTTCAATTGACGGGACGAACAAGTCGTGGGCCTGGTGGTAGGAGACACGCCTGTCTATAACAGTCGCAGTGTCACTCAGAGCTTTAAATCGGAAAGATCTTAGGGGCACTGCCACTGTGCCCGTCACCCTGAGACATAATTAACAAGTCTCATGTGCCTGTAATTTTACCCTTCAAAATCGTAACGCAGTAATGCTTAAATTTCCACTTGATAACAGAAGTAGATAAAGTGGCAGTACGTTCCTGGACGAATTCTTTCACAAGAAGCTCTACTGCTACTAGTAATTTTGACATATATAAGTTAATTGCTTTTCAACATTCTAGCGAACTCTCCTACATTGAAATGTGTATCGTGTACTGTACTATCGGGGACGTATTAATAAATAGCTCCAAGTCCGTTGTTAAGTGTACATCACAAGCATCCCATTTGTAATGGACTATCATCATTGACTCTGAATGGTAATATGTCAAATGACCGAGAGCCATTTTCAGATTAGTTTTCTCTAATTTTTATTATTAAAGTATTATAAAATATTATCATGAACAGAGATGGGCAGTGGACCCAATCACTCACCAGGTTTTTATCCGGGTTTTAACCCACTTCTGCCCAAAATCGTCGGCAAAAACACAATACGCATAAAATAATACGAAATTTGGTATAATTCCATACCTATTATAATGTGAAGAAAGATCCATTTAATCAAATACTTAAGATAACATTTATCAGATATAGAAATTACTGTAATAAGCTTATAAAATCGATTAAAAGAAAGTTTGAACAGGAAACATTAGGTAAATCTATGAATAACAATAAATTATTATGGAAGAACATTAAAAACACGACTTACACGAATAATAATAAAAAAGTAAACTCTGAATTAATTTACCTAAAATCTTCTCCTTCTCCCTCAGCCAACTTTATTAACGAGTATTTTGCTAATATAAGTGAACAATTGGCTCAACATACACTACCTACCACACATGATCTAAATACTTACCTAAATAGTCTATCTTCTCAACCGAACTCCTTTGTTTTACAACCTAATGACACATTGGAAGTTAGTGATATTATTGCAAGCCTTAAGTCAGGCAGTGTGCCTGGGTGGGTAATATCCCGACCCCGTTTGTGAAACTAGCAAAAGAAGTTGTCCCCTGCAAGTCTTTGTTTTAGCAATGGCATATTTCCAACCTTGCTCAAAGAGTCAATCATAACTCCTGTGTACAAGGGTGAGAATAGAGCCGAAGTCAGCAATTACAGACCCATCTCAGTACTGCCAGTATTCTGTAAAATATTCGAAAAACTAATTAACAAAAGACTCATTAATTATTTAGATAAGTATAACATCCTGTCAGGATGTTGATTAATACGAGCCCCAGTATGTTAGCTACTCTATGATGTTATCCATTAAGTAGAATAAACCAAAGATATGTTTATACATATAAGTGAGAAAAATCTTGAAAAGATGTGCGTTGGTGTAAGAATGTGATCAATGTTATAACCAAACTATATTTGCCTAATCTTCAAGGAAGTAATACACATAGAGTCAATAATACCTCCCTCTGAAATCCCGGAAGTACTATACCTACTCACTCATCAGAAATATACTTTGACGACCTCGACGGCTCAACGGTTTGCACTGTGGGCGCTGAATGAGAAGGTCCCAGGTTCTGAATCCCGGAAGAACTAATTTGGTAAAATGAACTTTTCTATATTGCTTTTTGTTTGGATTTTCTGGGTTGCTCTGGTACTAATAGTACAGGGAATTCCCTACTTTGAGACCAGGTGGGTGTAGTTGTCTAGAGTATTATTATTACTTTAGTGCGATAAGTTTTGTAATTGTAAGTAAACATTTTGCTTTGGTTTTTCTTTTGTCTTTTACTTTTGATCACTCCATGGTTCCCGAGAGAGGTATTATCCACTTTATGTGATTACTTGAAGTTTAGGTAAATATACTGTGTCTATTTTGATCTGCCTGGTGATAATATTTTTAAAACAATAAGACCAAATCTTTAAAAACGATGTAATAAAATTCAATGTCATTTACAAAATATTTCAATATTCTGAGTGAAACAAAGTAAACGTAATTATTTGTTGAGTGAGAATAGATATACGTTATATTTATTAAATAGTCTGAAAAGCTTACACAGGTGTGTTTCATTGTTGTCTACCATCATATTTGCTGAGGTCTTAGAGCTTGTAGACACGGCGCGTATTCTTTAAACGCATGAGTACCACAGACGCGCGTTTACCATGGCTCAAAAAGCAGATTGTTGCGTTTATATCGAGCTAATGATAAGAACGCGTTAAACGCGAACGCGAGAAGCGCGTCATACGCGCGTTAGAATCGATTCAACAACAACATCGCGTTCCAAGACGGAAGACAGGCGTGGGGACAGGAGAGGGGTGCGTGCGCCACGCCACATCGCCGCTCTGCCACCAGCTGTCGTCTATATCGCTTACACGCAAATCAGAAGACGTGCATTTACGGCACCACGGAATTTGCGCGCCACCTCTGTATATAGGCGCTTACGAACGCAATGAAGCTCAAGCGTTACATTTTAGCGCGATTTTGCGCGAATAGCGGTTCGTCTCTCTGATGAAACCTAGTGGTTTATTATATTTTATACTTTTAAATGAAACAGTAAGCCGATTATGGATCATTTATTTTTATAATTTTACCTTCCCTTTCATAGTGACGTCAAAATACGTAACATACAACTCTACATTATAATATCAACATGAATTTGTTGGAGATCATTTCATGACTAAAATTTGTACACAGTTATTTATTAATACATCTATTGCTAATTTAACTTAAAAAATATAACCAATTTACAAATTAATTGTTAACAAAAATATTTAAGTAGAATCGATAACAGTAAAATGGCAACACTAGCGACAGGGATGGAGAGGGCATTCGGGTATTCGGATAGAGCAGCAATATCACCACCGAGTATATAACCAGAAATAGAGACGAAATGTCATTTAATTTGTTTGAAAACTATCTGCCATACCGTTACCGTGACAACTGCGCTCCGATTGGCCAGCCCGAATTCGAAACAATTGAAGGGTATCCTCAACTGTTTCACGTCAAATCGACCAGTTAACTTGAGCTTTGCTATAATGGACGATACTTGCAAAATTACATATTTAATATTTAATTACCGATGAAATGTGATTCCGTTTGTTTTGTAATTAGATGTTTTGCTGTTTTTCCCACACCACCGAATAGAACAGCACGGCATTGTTAGAGATATTATCTTTATTACAATAAATACAGAATATTTTTTGGAATGTACGGAGACGTATACACAGGTCAGTAGTTGGCCTGTCTATATTTCAGTGCAAACGAGAGTTGATATTATAAGAGCTGTATCGCTAATGTGTTACCAGGAATATATAGCCCTTATTTCGTCTCTATTTCTGGTTATGTACTCGATGAATATCACCGACGAATCTTTATCTTTTTTGAACATGGAAATGCATAATTTTTTGATCTTTTACCGTAGAATAAATTTTTAGTAGGAACCTTTTTTGTAGAATAATTTTTTAATAGCAACTCGAGTTTCTCCGTCTGTTGTACACTGGCTTCTTCTTGAATACCTTACTCTCCTACGCTCTTCCTGCCGACAATAAGGCACTTCATGGACTAGTAAATATATTTTAAATTAAAGATAGGAACTCCGGTTACAGCTACACATAATATATAATGCTAAAAACAACATACATACAATACGAAGTAGGACTAGGAACTAGTGGGTATACATTCTATAATATAATCCACTAAAGAATTTACGTTGTTTGACTTTCACAAAGGTTCAATTGATATTTTTTCAATATATTGAATAAAAATACTAGTTTTATAAATATTAGAAATAAGTAAATTGCGAAAATAACCTAAATCAGGTGGACAGCCATCTAAACAATTGTATTTTTTCTGTTTGGCATAAAACCACGAGGACTAAACTAGAATTGACCGTCACCTTGGAATAAAACATCGTGAACTAAATTACCTCCGGTGAATCACGGACTTAGCCGCAAAAATTGTGATGCCGAACCATTTCAAAGACGAAATCTCAACGGAAATAAACAGCACACTGAATGCATTCCTTTATTTTTGCATAGAGAGCTTAAGGCTTAGAGCGAGAAGGACAATGGGGCAGTGTGGGCCGCATCGTCGTGAGGAGGGGAGGGGGAGGACGTAATTAGAGCACCCGAGAAGGCACCGTGAGCACCATACTATACACCTTGACCCTTTATGAGACTACGGTGAGAATTGCCGAGCCAGTGTTCTCAGGGACACAGAAGCAAACATAACAATTAGGATGTAGACGTAACCTACGGAATAAAACCTCCTCCTTTGATAGGTACTTGTTGCTTTTGCAACACCCTTAAATCTATTAGTTATTTCCCGTCTGAATTCGAAGAATGAAGAAATAATGGTAACAATATCTTCTCAAATTGTAGAGTTGCCAGTAACAGCAGCGCTAGTTAAATTGAGGGTGGTAACATTGAGATTAAGGTAGTAGTCCTTAGGTGTGGGGATGTCCACCATGATCTCGACGTGTGTGGAGCCGAGCCGCTCTTTGAGGCTCTTCGTGAAGCGGATGTTCTGCGCCCACGCACGGCAACGAATGCTTATTATCACGCCCACTGAAAAAAAAAAACTTAACAATTTTGCTATCCAATGTATATCGGAAGATATTCCGAGATGGTTTAGGCCATCTTTCGCTATGCTGGCCCAATGAGGATTGGGACTCTACACTTTTTCCAAGGATTGTGAACCAGCTTCAACGTGCAGGTATTATCACCATGTTTTACTTCGTCGATAATGAAGTGAGTGGCCTGCTACTTAAAAATCATAGGTACCTACCTCATTCCGACATAGGGATTCGAACCATTCTTCGACTAAGCCTTTCGCTCTGTTCTTTATCAGTTTATATGTTTAAAACTAATGACTTACACTGTGTACCTTTCGAATAACTATCGTGTAATCATTTGTCATATTGCTGTAATTAAGCCAACGGGATTGGTTGAGTTTGATGGATGTTCCCGTAGTATCAAAGCCTTGTCATTGATCAATTTGAAATCCCTACTTCCCTACTTCATTTTTAACGTGGGTGGGCAATAAACGCGATGCCATAATGATAGTTGCGTTATTGTAACGCTATGATTTCAACGTACTGAGTTTCTTCAAGTGGTGCGCCGTTTCAATGCACCGTGTTCTTTGATTCAAACTGACCAATGACAAGGCTTTGATACCACGTGAAGATTCATCAAACTTAACCAATCCCGTCAGTCGGTTCTCGCAAATTAAGTAAAAGTTTGACAGTCACAAATAAAAATGAAATATGTTAGTAAAGACACACATGAATTTGATATTGTTAGTATATAGATTGTAGGTATTTGATAGTTATTCACTAATCAAATATCACTATAATTATGGGTATTTTTACATTAAAGAGGTCTTCTGAAATGTAGTAAAAAAGTGATAATTATAAAAAAACCAGCTTCAAAAATTCGGGGAATTACATAATGTTTGTCAAGTTTTATTGAAATTTTTAACGGAAAATGCTAAGTGCTAAATGGAAACTGATAATTATTTTAAGTAACCTGTAACTACGAAAAATTATTTAATTGAACGATTGATTTAAATTGAAGAACCCTGTCGTACACTTTGTTAGACTTGATATGCTTGATGGAGGATCGGAATGATACTCGTGAAGACGCTAAATATGTAAACGATTTTTCAAAATTTTACATTGATTCTTAACTGTGGATTAAGTTGAAAATTTTAAAT